ATATATATATATATATATATATATATATATACACACACACACACATCCATGTACACACACACATATGTAACAGAATAAGGTATGATTCAGCAGGATAAAAGCCAGAGATGCTTGGGCCAAAGTAGAAAGCATCTATAAATAACGATAGAATTCAATAAAAAAAAAAATAGTTTTTCATGATTCAGGACTGTGATAGATGTTGCAAAAATTTGTATGTGCTACCAATTCTCAATTCTCTCATGTTTATGTGCCACCCCTCCACATTTAAAGTTAATGATAATAACTTAAGCCCTAAAGAGAAATGTTCAGGGGGAAAAACTACATTCAAAACTTGGACTTGTGCAAACTAATCTTTTTTTCTGAATACAGGAACACCACAATACAGCACAACTGGGTTGTTTTCTTGCCCTTGTTACCTGCCACAGGGGCAAACAGAAGATTTCTTTTGAGTTTGCCCACCTTCCCTCTACAATCTTATTCCACAGGAGAAACCGCATTTCCCCCGGCAGAGAGGAGGGAGCCCTGGGCTGAGGAAACCAAAGGTAGTCTATCCTTCCCTGTGATTCTGTCATCCTTATTATCATGTCTATACACTTTGCCTGGCTACCATCAGTTTCTGTCCAACAACACCTGGCCTCAGCATGAGAAGGTCTTTGAGGTTCTTACATATATATTTATAATCATGAGTATCTACCATAGTGCTCTGTACAAATAGAAAAAGATCTGGAAGGAAATACATCAAGGTGTTAATGATAACTTTTTAGCTGATGGATTTCTCTTCCTTCTATTTTTCTATATTTTCCAAATGATCTATAATAAGCTCATATTACTTTTTATAATAAAAGTACTTAAAAATAAAGACATTAAATTTGAGCCTAGGTACATACTACACTCTCTACTTTGAAGGTTCCCTGATTCTTGCTCTCAAAGAGATTATATGGAAAAATAAATTTAAAAAAAAATGACTAACATACAAAAACCTTCTGGGGGAGAGAAAACTATTTAACCATAACTGATTAATGATGGATTCCAGAAGAGCGAATCTGGACACAAATAACTACTTGTATAGAATAAACAGGTCTCAGTTTCTCCAAAATCAAATATGTAAATTTGATAGACAATGCAACTCTCTCAAGAGAGAGCTATTTTCTCCTGAAAAAACAACTTTTACTTAATATCATTAGAATGCAGTATGTCAATTTCTGAAAAGAAAAGAAATACTTGCGTTTTTTTAGTTTCCAAGCTCTCTTAAATCAGGAATGCTTTGGGGTCCTTTACCCACGGCTACTCCAATGTAGCAGGAAATCCACCCCCTTCCCGGACAGCATTGGGAATGACTTCTTTATCTGGTCGTCTAATTAAAGGGGCTGTTATCATTATAAACCTCATTTAGTACTTTCTCCTAAACATCTCATAAAATAAGTAGCTTTCCACTGTCCACTACTAATCACCAAGAAACCAATCATATCGGAGCCCTTTTTAAAGTCTTAAATCTTCGACTCTAGACATGTTTATTAAAAATTTTACATCATATTCAATCATAAAACTTAATATGTATTTTATGAAAATGAACAATGGGAAGAAAAACCAGGGCAGCTCTGTTAATACAATAATAGCAAGCCACCTATTACGTGCGATAGACCTTCCATGCAATGTCTTATTTAATCCTCCTACCAACCCTACTGCTATTATTTTATAGACAGCCAACTAGACCTTGGAAAGACTAACTAACTTGTCTAAGGTCACAAAGCACAGCTCCCACTCAGATCTTCTTGACTCCAAAGACCATGCTTCTCATATATCAAACCGCTTCCCTCTGAAAAAAAAAAAAAAAGAGTGGGAGTTTGGGTCTTTTCAAAATTAAAACACAAAGCAAACAAGAAGACAGAAAATCCACCAGAATACTCTTTTCCTCTTCATGCTTTTAAACCACTACCTATTTCTCCTTCCTTGGCTGAGCTCATTCTTAGTCTGGCATGAAGCAAGCTGCTCTCGGGCAGAATATGGCAGAAAGAATGACAAGTTGGTCAGAATGTGCTTGCAGCAGGGTCTTCGGATGCAAGATCTTATTGGTGTATAAGAACAAGTTTGATCATAAGGTGGTGAATAAAAAAAGAGAAAGGGATGGTCAGTTGTAAGGAAAGCTTCAGAGGAGCGAAGTGGTCTCCCTCAGCTAACTATTAAAGAAAGGAAGCACTTGACCTGCTCCTGCCATACCACAGTTCTACTGAGAACGCTCACTTTTTAAAAAGAACTTCACACGCTGAAGATAGTGCCTTACCTTATCCTTTTACGAAAAGCAGAGTCAAAGGTGGGGTGGCTCAGTCATTTAAGTGTCTGCCTTTGGCTCAGGTCATGATCTCAGGGTCCTGGGATCGAGCCCCGCATCGGGCTCCCTGCTCAGTGGGGAACCTGCTTCTCCCTCTCCCTCTGCCCCTACCCCTGCTTGTGCTTTCTCCCTCTCTCACGCGCTCTCAAATAAATAAATGAAATCTTTTAAAAAAAGAAAAGAAAAGCTGAGTCAAAAAAGTTTAGTAATTTATGAGGCATACCATCTATCCGATATACTGAGTGAAACTTTGCTCAATTCTGTTTTCCTCAGCAAAACCCCACACAAACACCAAGATGAAATGTGCACCTTTCCCCCCAAAATGATAACTCACGGAATAGGATTACCATGGACACATACTCTAATCTCTGAAAAACTTGTGTGTGAATCAATAAGAGGCCTATGCCTAGCAAAAGCAAAGGGACACAGAACAGTGAATGCAGTGGGGACACCAGAGAACGCTTTTCATTCATGAATCACTTTGCTGTTGGTGCCACAAAAGTCCCACTTCATAGAAGAGAGAGTCACAGGAATTCCATCTGGGCACATCTTAACAGCGCCTCTGTGGCCAAACATGAGCGCTCCCGGCTACATCTTTCCCTGGGCTCCCTCTGCACTTCCAGGGTCTCAACTGCACCCTCCATGGCCCAGGAGCACCCAGGTTGCTTTTCAACAACAGTTGTCAGGTTGGGAGGGGAGTCACATGTAAGTGGAATGGTAAATTTTTCAGAACAAATCATGAAACTGGAAAGGAAAGGAAAAAGGAAAACATAGACATCACAGCTCAACAGTTTTAAATTGCCTTGTGGTCTTGTTTTTAAATTTAAAAATCATGGGGAAAGAACAAATTTAAAATTGCACAAAATTTTGAAGGTCTTCTTATCCAACTCTTCAGTCCATCTCAGCTACAAAATCTCTAAACCACTTCACCAGATATGGGGTCCCCAGCTTGTCCACAAGTCTAGTCCACTGTTGGACTCCTTCAGTTATTACAACAACCTTCTTCATACTGACTTGATTTCTGTCTGCCTCTAACTCCCAGCCATTAATCCTAGATATATACCTACAACCATCCAGAGTTCACTTATTCTTTGATATGACAGCTCTTCAAAACAACCGGGATGCTGGTCTCAATGCAAAGGTTTGCAAAAGCACCAATTCAAAGGGGTATGTGTGTGTGTGTGTGTGTGTGTGTGTGTGTGAGTGTGTTGCAATAGGTTTAGTTTGGGAGTATCATGATGGGCAGAAAATAATAGTTTTGAAAGACAAAGAGGAAAAGAACGGCTCTGTGTCTTTGTTTTCAAAAGTTAGTACCTAATCAATTTGTATTTATTTAGAACACACCTTGCATTTTTAAAATGCTTTCTGGTAACATCCAAAGTAGGAGAAATTCCATCTGGTCAGAAGATGCACAGCAAAGGAGGAATTACATGTCTCTGAGGTCACACTGACAAGAATGATCAAAATGGGGGAAAGGAAATCTTCAGATTGGCTTCTAATCATGCTTATGACTGGAAGAGATAACATGCCAGTCACTGGTTTCAGTTTAAAGCCCACATAGGCTCAACCACTTCTCTGTCCTGTCAACAGAGTGAAATTGGGCTGATCTGAAGTCTTGCTAGCTGCCAAGGTAGTAGCTATAGCTTTTCTTCCTAATAATGGCTCATACCAAACCTTGAAAGTATCTCAGCAAGAAACTGTGCATCCACTAGGAAAAAAATTTCATGTGTTGACAAAAAGACTGCTGTCAAATGAATACAAAATATTGAAAAATAAAACACCTTCACCCAGGAAAGTCTTACATATATTATTAATTTTATGCCTAAAAAATCCTAAAAAATAAAGAGTAAAAACTTGTTGGAAGATATTTGTTAAATATTGTAAAACTGTGAATTGATATAAAATATTGAGACCTGTGTCACCAGTGAAACAAACAGTGGACCACTGAAGTTCTCAGTTCATTCACCAAACCTCTCAGTCCCACCTTTTCTGATAACCGAGGGTTGAGCTGTACCGGTCTCACAACTTCCTGACCTTCAACTTCCACATTTTTTTTATTTTTATTTTTTAAAGATTTTATTTATTTGATAGAGATAGAGAGAGGGAGAGCACAAGCAGGCGGAGTGGCAGATAGAGGGAGAGGGAGAAGCAGGCTCCCCGCTGAGGAAGGAGCCCGACGTGGGGCTTGATCCCAGGACCCTGGGATCATGACCTGAGCCGAAGGCAGATGCTTAACCGACTAAGCCACCCAGGCACCCCAACTTCCACATTTTTAAAATGAAGAATCCAGTGGATAGATCATCTCCAAGGACTGTACATTTGCATGGTTCTAAAATTTTCTGTATTTTGATGTCATCACTGCAATACCTATGAGAAAGCCTCATTTCTGAGAGCTAGCTTTTCAGAAAATCCGTTAAATGAAACTTCAGAGAAATTGAAATGCTGTATTTCATTTAGGCCAAGCCTTTCAAAAAGCCTTAGGCAACTTGGCATAACAGTAAGAGTACAAAAAAAAAAAAATAGAAGAGTACAGACTCAGAGCTGAAGACTAGCTAAGGTCCAATCCAGTTCTACGACTTATGTACTAGCAGCATGACCTGGAGTAAATGGATTCAGCTCTTGTGTTCCAGTTTCCTCCTCTGTCGAATGGGGATAATAATGGTGTGACTTCATGGGGTAGCCAGTAAGGACATAACTGAATCGACAGCAGAATAAATTTATGATGGATTGTCAATAGACTTGAAACCAACCAATGTGTCCTAGCACTAAGCAAATTGTGTTTGAGCTAGTAGAATACAACCTCAGTGCCTAGGATAGTGGGTACTGAGTAAACCGTTGCTGAGAGAATGAATGAGCAGACTGAGAGAAAACAGCTCTATCTAAATGTTTTCTGTATCATCCAGTATACGTCAGAGGAATGCTAACAACAGAATCACAGGCTGCAGCTGTCCACAACTCACCACCCGTGGTAGGTAAGAAGAGCAGCTGAGTTTATTCTACTAAAGTGAAGGTCAACAACCAATCTCCACATAGCTTCATTATCTTCAGTAACCGCATTCACCCAAGGGCACAATAAGGTGGACTAAAGCAGATACAGTATGGTCAAACATCCACAATGAGAAATTAAATGAAATATTAGTGCATTTTTGCTTCTTTGCCTTTATAAGAAATGAAGATAGATACAAATAAAAGGAAAGTCACTTAACACATCATCTAGGATGTGTTAAGTAAAGGCACTTTTTAAAAAAGTGCTATGTCTTGTATCAGGTACTACCCGCTAGGGTCATTTATATGCACGCTCTAAATCCAAACTGATGTATGGACCAGATTGACTATAGAAAGTTCTGTGGCCCAGGACAACCTCTGAAGACCTCAGTATGCATCAGCCCAAGTCTGAACAACTTGCAGTCCATCAGCTAACCAGTTTCAGTTCACTAATCACAACTTACATTTCATCCTGATCCTTTGAGCCTATGCCTAAGTAGATAAAACTGTGAAGAGAACGAACTAATCAGAGGTTCTTCTAAACTAGGTCCACTTCAAGAGGGCCATAGGAAAAGTGGAGGTCACTTTGATGAGAACAGTTTGAATGAAGAAAGGTCCCTGTTCCAGTTCATCATTTCATAAATAGCTAGGTAGCCAGTGGGGCAAAAAAAAAAAAAAAAAAATCCTTTAGAATTTACGGAAAGGGTATTCCCAGGAACATCTGTAAAGAAGCAACTTCTTTGGTCAAAAATGAGTAGTCAAAGGCAACAGCAAATACACACACCTTAAAATCTACCCTGAGACATGGGGTCAAACAGCACAGTTGGAGCCTGGCAACTAGCCATGATCCTGGAGACGTACAGATTTCCTCAAACGTATCTTCACTTTATGGCCTGGTTCCTAGTGAAGTAGATTACTCTCATTTTTTCCCCTTTCAGTCCAAACAACAGTTATTGAGCATCCACCATCACAAAGAGCTGTCACGTGTACTAAGAAAACCACTGACGGGTACTAAGGAGGGCACGTATTGCATGGAGCACTGGGTGTTATACGCAAACAATGAATCATGGGACACTACATCAAACACTAATGATGTACTGTATGGTGACTAACATAACATAATAAAAAAAAAAAGAAAGAAAACAGGTTCAGTGTGGAAGACCAACTCTTCATACGTTTAACGGCAAATGTAAAGCAGACTCAACGACCCTAAAGCAACATAAGCCATGTGCAGTGGGTAAAAGGAAAAGGAAGAAGGCTAGTCATGGCAGGCGGGGCAGAAGAAGAAACAGGTATTCCTTATTCCACAAAAGGCTGGCAGCAGCTGGAAGGCTGAGCAGGAAGAACTGAGCACCCCAGTCACAGAACAGGCATAGAAAAAGGGGCGGGGAACAACTCAGGTATAAAAGACATATCTGTTTTGTAAATAAGGGACAATAGTGAGCAGTCTCACGTAACTGCATGTTTAATTTTGATATGTACTCTTGAGCATTTGAAGTGTT